TCAAAAAAAAAAAAAAAAAACCAAAAAAAGAATATAATTTCCATGTTTCAGTGATTACCTCTATTTGTTCATCCTAACTGCAAGACCTAGAAGAGCTCTTTTCTAAGAATAGTTGAAGAATTATTTTTTGAATGAGTAAGTGACTCCCACATCTGGGTGGTACAATATGTTGTATGTTATTTGTTTGTACTTGTTCCATGCCCATCCTGGTGGCTAAAAATGTCTTCAGCAACATCTACACTCTGACCTAATGAATGGCACACTTGTGATTCCCAAATTTACCTACTTCTGTATTTTGTTAGTCAGTTCACTCTCCTGATTTCTTCTTGCCTCCCATTTCACGGAACAAAATAGAAGAAGACATAGCCTCAAGATGAATCCACCTGTTTCTACATTGTCCTCCTCTTATGCTGAATAAATTGCCCGTGGTCTGATCTGAGGCCAGTTCCTTTACTTGCCATGTGGAATCTCCTTTCATTTCAATTTCTTATGAACTTCCCTTGTACACTGGTCTCTTCTCTCTCTTTTTTTTTTTTTTTTTTGAGTTGGAGTCTCACTCTGTCGCCCAGACTGGAGTGCAGTGGGCGCTCCCGGCCACCGCAGCCTTGACCTGCTGGGCTCCGGCGATCCTTCCGCCTCAGCCTTCCAAGTAGCTGGAACTACAGGCGTGCACTACCACACCCAGCTTTTTTTATTTTATTGTAGAGATGAGGTCTCGCCAAGTTGCCCAGGAGGGTCTCGAATCCGCGGACTCAGGCAATCCACTCACCTCAGCCTCCCAAAGGCGCGGGATTACAGGCTGAGCCACCAAGCCTGGCTCCCTTCTCTCTTTTAATCTTAACAATCTGGGTGTCCATTGGATCAACTTCCTTATGATGCTGTACTCTCTTACTTTAGTAAAACCTTCCTTTCAGCCTTATCACCCCCTCAGCAACCATCCACATATTGCCTGTTTTATAATGCATGACTTTGATAAAGAGTATATACATGCAGCCTCCATTCTTCCTCACCTGTTATCTGTTTTTAACATTTTAAAATTCTGAGACATAGCACATTCACTGAAGAGTGGATTGTAAAAATAGATGTAGACTTTGGAAAATTATCAAAAAGAGAAATAATGTATAACCACAATTTTGATCAAGTAATCAACATCTTAAGCTCTGCAGAAGTAATCGAGGTGCCCCTTTCTAATTACAAATCCCTCCTCCTGCAGAGACATTCGTGATCCTGTCTCTATGGTAACAGCTTCCTCATGGTTCCTTATAGTTTTACCTTCTTCATACATAATGTGCACATTTAATTTCAGTTTACTTGTCTTTAGATTCCATATGAACACATATATGTACAATTTATACATGCCTTCTTCTACCCCCCCATTTCATTCAAGTTGCCTTCTGTGATTGTTGAAGCCATAGTTCATTTCTTTATATTGCTCACACTAGTATTTCTGTTTGTGAATCCCTTCCAATTCACTGTTCATTCTATTATCTGTTTTTCTTTTCTTTCAGGATACACTATGAGCAATGCTGCTATGGACATTATTGTCTATGTAACATGACGCAAACAAACATGACTTCCCAGGGTAGTCATTCCTAGAAGCAGAATGCTAGGTCACAGGCTCAGCAAAACTTCAGTGTAACTAGAATATCACAAACTATATGTCAACATCCTGCACCAATTCACAACCCCAAATCAGTTTGGGAATCTCTACCACTGCACATTCTCAGTAATGCCTGGTGTTGTGATTCTCTTAAATTTTGCCAAGCTTGTGATATGCAGTAATATCCTTTTATGGCTATACCTTGCATTTCTCTGAATACTAATGAGGTTGAAGACCTTTACAAATGTTTATTGACCCACTGCTTCGAAATTGATTCCAGTAGAACATGGCTTTTATCTTTCCTCATCCAGCTAAACTGCTGTACCATAGGCTACCCATCATGGCTCTCCATTGTCAAGGGCAACATAGCCATAACCCATCTTAAAAAAAAAACAAAAACAAACAAACAAACAGAAACCTTAGTGTGAAGTGACTTATGTTTTAAAAGAATCATTCAGCATGTTGTATGGAGTACAGGCTAATGGGGAGCCTGGGTGGAAGCAGAGAACCAGTTAAAGGGTTCTGCAAGAGTCTGCAAGGAAGTTGAGGGTGACTTACACTGCACTTGAGAATTGGTGGAGGAGAGTGGTAAGGGGTCACATTCTGGACATTTGTTGAAAATAGAGGCCAGGTGCATGGCACAGTCTGTAATCCCAGCACTTTGGGAGGTCAAGGTGAGAGAATTACCTGAGCCCGGGGGGTTCAGGACCAGTCTGGGCAAGTTGGTGAGACCTCATCTCTACAATAAATCACAAAAACTAGCCAGGCATGGTGGCATGCATCTGTAGTTCCATCTACTTGGAAGGCTGAGGCAGAAGGATTGCCTAACCCCAGCAGGTCGAGGCTGCTGTAGCCTGGGTAACAAGAGTGAGACTCTAACTCAAGAGAGAGAGAGAGAGAGAGAGAGAGAGAGAGAGAGAGAGAGAGAGAGAGAGAGAGAGAGAGAGAGAAGGAGAAAGAAAATAGCACCAAGGATTTGCTGGTGGACTGGATTTGTACCGTGAAACTCTTCTAGAATTTTTTTTTCTTGTCTTAGTTTCAGGACACAACTCTCCACACTGGACACTCTTTCTCTGACTTCTTTCTTGACTCATCCTTGTCTTAGCAGCACTGACACATGGAATAACCCTAGAGCTAAGTCCTCACCCAAGCCTCAGTTACTTTCCCTTCTCTAACTATCCTTTCTCCCTGGCCAAAGGCAACCAGCACCAAGGCTTAAAATATCACTGATACATGGACAGTTCTCAAATATGCATCTCTCACTGACTTCTCTCCTCAATTCTAGACCCAATAGTCTCACTGCCTGGCTGACATGCCTCCTTGGGTGTTCATAGGCATCTCAGCCTAAACGTGTCCACCACTGTTCCTTCCACACTCATCCCCATCTCAGTAAATGGCAACTCCTTTCTTGCAGTGGCTCAGGGCAAAGCCACTGGAGTCATCCTCTGCTGCCTTTCTATCAGTCAACCTTTTAGCTCTGACTCACAATGGATACAGAATCCAGCCATTATCACCACCACTATTTCCACTACCCTCCTAAAAGCTTCCAACATCTCCTGCTTGGCAAATCACAAGCATTGTCTAAAGGTTCTCTGCCTCTACAGGTGACTACCCCTCCTGTTCCTCATGTAGCAGAAGGAGTGCTCCTTCAGTATTTCTCAGCTCAGCTTGCTCATTTGTTAAAATATTTCTGTTTCCCATCTCCACTGCAATAAAAAACCCATTCCTTACCAAGGCTTTGTGTGATCTGTCTCCAACCACAGCTCTCACCCACTAACTCACCATGATGCTCACTCTGTCTGGAAGTGCTGACCCTTTTTGCTCTTCTTTTCCATGCCTAGTATGCTCCCGTTTCAGGACCTTGTTTCTTAGAGTTCCTTTCCCTGGTTAGCCCCTCCCCTGCAACCTGCAGAATTTTCTTCCTCAATTTCTATACATCACTCATTATAGGTCTTCTTATCAGACAGGACCCCATGAACACTATCTTAAAATAGCAGTGCACCCA